AACACATCAAGTGGAGTCTTGAAATCAAGAACCCGACTAGGGGTACGGTTAATCAAGTAGGCAGTGGCCAAGACACCATGTCCCCAAAGATGATGACGAACATACATATCCAACATAAGAGAGCGGGCAACTTCAATTAACTGACGATTCTTCCTTTCAGACACGCCATTCTGTTGAGGAGTGAATGGAGTGGTAGTTTGGTGAATGACACCGTGATCACGAAAGAACTGATTCAATGTGTGATTCACATATTCACCGCCATTATCGGTCCGAAAAACTTTAACATGAGCATGAAACTGAGTAGACACCATGGCACAAAAAATAGGGAGAATAGAGGCAACATCATGTTTATTCTTCATCAAATACACTCATGTTAAGCGAGTGCAGTCATCAATAAACGTAACAAACCAACGGAAACCATTTGAAGTCACACGAGCAGGATCCCATACATCAGAATGGACTAACTCAAAAGGCAAGGCAGCTTTATTATTACTTAAGGGAAAAACAGTACGGTGACTCTTGGCCATTACACAAGTCTCACATTTGAAGCTAGACTCATCACAGGAGCGGAATAAAGATGGAAACAGACACTTAAGGTAGCCAAATGACGGGTGTCCCAAGCGACGATGCCATAACCAAATTTGCTGTTTGTCTTTGACACTGCAACGTTGAACAGTATTAACGACACGATTACGAACTGGTGCAGAAGGTAATGTCAAAAAATACAACCCCCCTATCCGTTTACCATGCCCAATCACCTCGTGAGTCTTGAGATCCTGAAAAGAGCAATGGGTAGGATAGAAAGTAGCAGAAGCATTAAGTGTATCAAGTAAGCGACCAACAGATAACAAGTTACAATGGATATTGGGAAATAATAACGCACGAGACAAGGACAGAGTTGGGGTGAGAGAAATGGCGCCCTCGCCAGTAATTGGAGAGGGCAAACCATTAGCACTAGTTATATATGGGTCACGGGTGTTACTAGACAACTCATCAAAAAATTTAGCATCATAAGTCATATGATTAGAAGCACCAGTGTCAATTATCCAAGTATTAGAGCCAGTACCTGGAATAGAGTCAGAAACACGCAAATTTGCAGAAGCAGCAGAAGCACCAACAATGGGATTATCACCCATGATTGTAGCAGAAACTCAACAAATCACGCAGGGTATACAACAAATCACAGCACATACACAAATATGACAGATGCACGAAGACAACAGAGGCACAAACACAGTAGAGGCAGATGCACGAACACAGTAGAGGCACAAACACGACAGAGCACACATCGGAACACGGCAAAGGCACAGACACAAGAACCCTAAAAGAAATTAGGGCACACAGTAGAACATGGGTGGGCACAACACACACAGGTCACTAGAAAGTTGGCTCTGATACCAAGTCAAACAATATGGGTAGAATATTTTCAGATATATTTCATTCTCCGAAAGGAGGTATTTATAATACAGGTTACAAACCCTAGTAGGGTTTAATTAGGAAATAAGTGGAATCCTAATTACATAATATCTATACAAAAGGAAAAATAAATAAAACCCAAATAGAATAGGATATATTCTACTCGCCAACAGAAAGTACGTAGTTGTCTCTCATATAACTGATTTATGATAACATATATAAGTTTGCTTTCTGAGCAAGTTATGTATCTTGTTGTAAACTTATTGACATTTAATGGCTTTATTTTTCATGGTCAACGCTTTCGAAACTTCTTGACAGTTGCAACTTAAAGCCCTGCCCTTTATCTTTTGGAAAGAAACTTGTTTCCAATTTCATCAGTTTTCAAATGTTTGCAGGGTCATGACAGAAGTAGCCTAGTTGATTTTGAAACATTGAAAGCAGAAGGGGAAAGAAAAAAAGAAGAAAGAAAGAAAGAAAGAAAGAAAGGTGTCAAGTGGCCTAAGCCATTTTTTCCCAAATGTTGATTCGAGATCACTATCTAATACTAATGAAAGGGTGGTAATATAATAGAAGAGATATTTCTCTGGTCTATTGTTGAGGATTTTATGCTGTGCTCAGCAGAAGCTGTTCTCTATGAGTTGAACAAATTCATTGAAATCAATTCGTCCATCTCCGTTATGATCGAAGGCTTTGATCATTCTTTTGCATTCCAGTTCTGAAGCTCCAACAAAACCCAATGCACAGAGAACCTTGTTTATCTCCCCTGCATCAATGAACCCGTCCTTATTCTCATCAAACACATGAAAAGCTTCTTTTACTTCCTCCAGGCTTGGTTCCTCCTCAAACAAGTCAGCAATCTCCTTTGACCCAACTCTCCCCTCAACTACTTTACCACCATCTGCATCAAATAACGTTCCCAGTTTCTCCATTATCTGTCCAAGTTCTCCCGTACACAGCTGTTTCTTGTCATCTACAACAATTTCATTTTCATGAAGGCAAGTAACTTCTTGTTTCTTGGCAATGCAACTACTTTTTTGGATGGTCTTGCACTTGCTGCTCTCAGACCAAACAATAATCTGAAACAAATCGGAAAGGAAGCATATAAAGAAGGGCACTAGAGCATACCAGGAGCCGGAGGGCAAGTGTAGGATAAGTAGCAAGTTAAGAATGATAAGGAGTAAGAGAACAACTGAAACGGCGTGGAAGCCAAATGCTTCACTCATTGTCTTCTCCATATTTGGTGGGGAAAAAAAAACACAAAAACAAAGTAGCTAGAGGGCAGAGAGAGTGCTTAATATTGTTTAATTAGGAGGTTAAGAGTCTTGAGACTTGTGAGTGGAAACCACACTTTGGTTTATAATATATAGAAGTAGTAGCTAAGAGAGTTCCTGTGAAGTCATTGTGTAAAAGATGAGGAAAATTCAATCCAATGTCATCCTTGTTTCCATCAAAAGAGTTGGTGACTTACTTCGTCTGCGTTGTTAATTTATTCAGCATCACCGTCGTCATCACATGGAAATTTCCAGGTCATGTCTCATATGTAGATAGAAAGTTAGAGTCAAATTGCAGAGAAGTTTCAGTGTGAAAGCAAAACTATTCATCAATATCCAAGTCTTCTGCCCAGGGAAGACTCTAGAAAACAAGCGAAAGGCGTATTTCTGTTTCATATGGATTTCGTGCCTCTCACGTGTTACTAATTTCTTCACATTTTATTACCCTTCCTTAGTATCCATGTGTATCACAGCGGTCAGTGTTCCTAGTCCAACTCAGTTTCTGTGGCAAGTGTTGAGAAACCAAAATCAAAATCATATCTTTCTGCACAAACTATCCAACATAACACAGATGGTCTGGAAATAACAACAATCATTCACGACTCTCACATGAAAGCAATAAAAAGTAATTCATGACAGATCAAAGCAATAAACTTAATAACACTTGAAAGTTTGAAACTTGAAACTTGGTAACACTTCAGAGTAGATGACTAATTTCTGGGTCAAAAATATTATTATTTTTTCCATTGGATTTCTCTGCCACCAACCAAAAAGAGAGCTTTTAAGACGAAAAAAAGTATGGATGTTTAAGCATGAAATTGAATCCCAAGCATGCCCCAGAAAACCATATTTGGAGGGATCAAGAGAGAATTATAGAGTGAAAGATTGCTACTTTAGAAAAAGATAGGCGTTTACAAGAGACATGGCGTGTGATGTTGCACTTGCAGCAGAGGAGAAGGTGTTGCTTGCTTCTATTCTCAGGGATTGAGGGTACTATTGCCTTTTCACTAAATTTTCTTATCCTTTCTACATCCAACGATCCAAAATTCGTCTCCAAAACCAGATATCCATTCTACCATTCGATTGGCCGAGCGAGAGAGAGAGAGAGTGATGAGCTGAAGAGAAAAGATGAGACCAAGCAAAGAACCAAAGAGGCGGAGCCGCCCTTCGTCTCCACTCAAGGACCGAACAACAGCGCCCTCCTCCGGCTTCGAACGAAGCAGCTCTCCCAAGTCTCGCGCCTCCCTGCTCACATCGCCGGTCTCTCTTCTCAATCGGGACTTGGAAGAGGTTCAAGAGCTCGCCACTTCTTCTAACACCAACCCACGAATCTTTCCGTACAGTGTGAAGCAGCAATGCTGGGAAAAGGCTGAGAAGATCAGAGGTCGAGACCCAGACCGGTGGCGTCGGGACCCTCTTGGAAACACCGTGTTCCGGAAGCTCGTCGGTTGCCCAGGTTGCCTCTGTCATGATTATGATCACATCGTGCCTTACTCTAAGGTAATTCCTCGTTCTCTCTCAAATTCACCATTTTTATGATTTTTTGTGCGGTTCTGTTTGTTGGCATTGATTCTTTGATTTGTGCTCGGAGTTTTGTGAAGTTGGTTCATTATGGTTTTGGCTATTAAGGCTCCGTTTAGGATGCATTTGATATATATCTTTCCTTTTTTGTTTGGTGACTTTCCCATGGAATCGGATTATTTCTGTTGGTAGCATTCTGTATAAAAAGAGATGCATTTTTGGAAATGCTTGTGTTGTTGAATTCCATCCATCTAGTAATACTTTAAAGCTGAGTTCTTTTTTCGCTATGTAGTGTGCCATTGTTTATAATGTTAGTTGCCATCATCAAGCATGGTTATGTGAAACCAGTAGTTGTTTGTGGACATGTGGACTTTATGGCTGATTTATTGGTTGGAAAATCAGGGATTTGCTTCAGTTAGCCTAAATATGCACTTGCATACAACATAAACACATTTTTACTGGAGGTGAGAGACATTAGGATAAGATTAGGTAAAGAACTCAGCTTACCTATAGTGCAAAAGGCATAGAAGGTAAACTAGAGTCTTGTTATAGCAGTTAATTGGTCAGGACGACAATGAGGTGGCAAATGCCATATTTGATTGTGACCATAGACCTAGAGAATGGAAGCTTGGAGATGGCATGCAATAGTGTTGTGGGATTTTTTTTAATTTAAACCAGATTCTGATAGAATATGGTTAATCATGGTGATACAGATATAGGTAAAGGACTGTCTAGGCCTTTCAGCAACCGTGAGGTACAATACCTTTTGTCTGATCATTTATACTTGACTGTAATACAGGTTTGATGATCCTGTGAATTGTTTACCAATTTGGCACATGTTAGGCTCAGGTAAATCCAAATGACTGGATTGATAGGGCACTGGAAACATAAGCCTGGATATAATATGCACTGGCCAAGGCATCAGTTTCCAAAGAGGAGAGCTACTTAGCATGTTTTAGGAAGAAGCTCATTCTGTTAGGCATGGTGTGGCAGATATGTGACAAAGTTTAATAACCAACTTGAACGTGTTTTGTCATGCCTATTGTGCTGATTTTGCTTGGAGAGGAACAGTAAACCAAAAAGGAGTTCAGGAAGTGGGCTTATGTGTCATCCCAATCCAATATAATGATCTTGACTGCTGAACCTTTATTTCTTTATTTTGTTTCCCTCAGGCCCGTGGCCCCTGAATTGTTTTTCGAGGCCTGATTGTTTTATCTTTCACATTTCAGGGAGGACAAAGTACGCTTGATAACTGTCAAGTTTTACAGGTATGAACTTCATTCCTCTTCATGACCTTGGATTATTACATGAATGTTGTATCTTATTTTTGGTTATAATCTCCAGCCAGAGAAACCAAACCACCAGTATATGTAAGCATGCAGTGCATTCGTATGCTATATATCGTGGCCTTTAAAGGCTGCCAAAATATATATGGCTCCACTTAATTCTCAGCTATGGCGGCTCATCTTCATGTCACTTCCTTTTGATGAAGCACGTACTCTTCATTCGCATCCAAATCATTATTGAAACTGAAGTTCACCTTGCCTGTCTAGTTTCTGTATGCTGACTTAAAGAATATAGTCCCGCTGTTTACTTATAATTGTAGAAGATACATCTTACTTTTCTTCATAAAAGAATATTTTCTCTCACGAACTGTAGGCAACAGTCAATCGATCAAAAGGAAACCGGACTGAGTTTTCTAGAGCTGAGCTCATTCAGAAAAGTTCCTACTGTCGGGTTGCAGGTAATCCCAAGAAACCCCAATACATGTGGAAATCCTTGCAGGGATGAATTCAACTAATTTAGTAGCAAATTAGTGACGGCATATTCCTTTGAAATGCAGGTCGTGACATGGATCTTATTGAACTGTCAGCCTATGGCAATGTTCGTCATGCACCAGATTCAGGGGGATGCAGAATCCAATAACAATTTAAGGTGTTGTGTAACTTGCTCTAGAATTGATTCGAACATAGAGTGGAAAACTAGCATGGCTAAGTTTTGCCCTCATGGGATGTAAAACATTTGTATCAAGCTTACAGACTGTCATCTGTTACCTCTGAATATATGAGAAATTCGGATGGATATTTTCTTCATTCTCCCCTTGGCTATTTTGCGTTGCATGTTGCTATTTTCCACCTACTTATTTTTTCTTCCCTGCCACGTGTAAACAGGACACACACAACCCTCAATATAAGGAAAAACACTCATGAAACAGAGATAACATTGTTTTGTTATTCCCAGCTAATAACGGAATGATACGTAGCATAATTTTTTCACGTGTCATTGTATTATTCGTCAGGAATAACAAAGCAGTGATATTTCCATTACAGATAAGTTTTTCTGCAATGTAAGGCTTCAGCGCTTGACCTCGATCTAATTAATTAAACTAGTCTAGTTTCCAAGTGCATGCGTATGTTTGTGTCACATTCCAACAAATGATGGGACAAGACAAGACTCTCTTATCTATGGCATGCCAACCTTTAACGTTCAACATTTTAACCTTAGTAGGAATCTCAAGTACAAGCCTGCAGCGAGCAACAACAACAATCATGCTAAGCTTACTTGATGTACTAATGTGACGTATATGCAACCATACGTATCAACCACTCACCTCACCTAGTCATCAATGCTTTTCCATTCCAAGTGAAAAATGGATTTCCAAGTAAAAATAAATAAAAGCAAGGGTGTGCGTGTGCTTGGTAAGAGATGAGTTGAAGAAATCATGAAAGTTGTTGTCCTGTATTTGTTTTTGCATGAGGTTTTGTAGTTGAACTTGAGTACAGAGTTGAGATGAGCCTGTGAATGGTGGATATTCCAAATGACTGGATTGAGGGGTGCAGTGCAGAGTCATATATTTGTTTTTGGAATGTATAGTGAATGTATAGTGATTTCTACACTTGTTCTGTAGATGATGGGGATCGGGGTCCGGACATAGGTCACCAACAACGCACTCCTGCATCAGGTAGATCAACCCATTCAGATAATCCTAACCATTTGTCTCTCCTCTTGTAGCCAGCAATTAAAATGTATTCTATGGCAATGTTCGTCGTGCACAAGATTCGGGAGGATGTAGAATCCAATAACAATTTGTTCTTCTGTAACTTGCTCAGAATGTATTCAAACATTAACATAGAGTCGAAGACTAGCATTGCTACATGTCTGCCTGCCCAGTTGGAGTTTCGCGCTCGTTGGATGTGAAATATTTGTATCAACCTGACAAACTGTCATCCCTTAACTCTAGAAAAAGGGCTGAACCTAAAACGGCTCTACAATGAAGTAGTTTAAATGGGCTTTACAAGACAATGGACGGCCCACATTCTCCCATCATATGACCTAGCCAGTTCCAAAGTTGGAAGTCATAGGAGGAAGAAGAAGAATATAGATAGAAGAAGAAAAAAAGTTGCAAGTGGGTTGATTTTTCTTGCTTTTCTATGTGAAGTGAAGCCTCACATCCGCACTTTCTTCTTTAGTATTTTTCAATTTTCTTTTCTTTCCTTATGCTAGGCATTTCAAATGTTAGAAAAAGTTAAAAGAAAGAAGAGGCATACACTTCTGATTT